TCGGATGATGAAAGTGATCGACATGGTAAACTACCGCCATGTTCAATACCAATGCCGGTATGCTGTGCAACTTGCAAGATTCCAAAGAGGTCGGTGGAACCATGTGATTCGGGGAGTGACTTATCCAGACCAATATCTAGAAAGATAAATTATTCCACCGATGATGAAGACTACGATGGTCCACTGGCAACCATTAAATGCAAAAGATGTACCATAAAAGCAAGGCCACCGATAATTTGTGATTCAGGTACTGACGTCTCTGGACCAGTACCTAGAAGGATAAAGTGTTCCAGCGAAGATGAAGAAGATGAGATTATAGTTTCACCCGTTGCTAAAAAATCGAAAATCAGTTGCGCTAGTTGCCACAGCTGTAACCGAATCCGAGGCCAATGTGAGGGCCGACCGTGCAAAAGAAAAGGATGATGATGGTACGATCAATACGTTTACCAATGACAATATTAGACAATACCACTGTCGACAGCTTTGCCATAAGCAAAGACCGTGCGAAAGTGGAAGCTACAAACGCGTGATTTTGAGAGTACCTTATCTGGACCTGTGTCTGAAGCGAACAAGTCAACGGAGTATAAACCTATGAGAAGTCCCTCGGCAAAGAAACCCGTAGTATATGTTCGCTATAGATATCAGTAGGAAAAATTCTGGTTTTGAAAAATGTTTACAACCATTTTAACATTTTTTTATATTTCGATTCCTGTATTTAACCTCAGAGACCAGTTGAATAGGCTCATCATTAAATTGGACATTTTCCAAAGATGTATCTAACGTTTTATGTTTCTTGCAAAGAAGATTAATTGAACTTTGATGCACCTATTACTATAAGGCTAGGGTTGAAATGATTATACAGAAAAGTCGAGATGAAGGATTCCTGACATTTCTATTTTATAAACAAAATTTAACTTCAAAATAATGAAAGTAATATTGTTTTGAAGGACTCCGCAGTCAATAGTGTGTGACTTCAGTGTGTGAGAACTCCACTCGGCACCACCCGCACTTTTTTAATGAATTGCTTTCGTATTTTATGCACTTTCATTTATATTAAAATGTATGTTTAATGGCGAGCAAACTATGTAAAAGGTATGCAGCCCAGGATAGAGTGCGACAGAGACAATGAGTGACAGGGAGAGGGGTGAGTGGAGTCTGAAAATTGTACACCAGCAGGAATAATAATAGCTTTGCATCAACAGCGACCATGTAACTAATTATTTAAATGCTATTAAAGCGCACATATTTTAATTCAAATTAATTAACGAGCTGCATTCGTAAAGCGGTAAATGTTAATATGTTGACAAGGAAATAAGTGATTAACAGTTTAACCAAAATTTATGCATAGATGAGTTCACGTATAAATATATGAAAAATCATTGGCGTTGAGCATTTCTACATTTCTTTAAATTTCAATAAAAATAGGTTTTATAGTTGGCAAACTGTACTTATGCATTGTATAACCAAAAATATATTTTTAGCCAAAGAGAAAAATTAAAAACAAAAAATAGTTTTCAAAGAGTTAAATAGAAAAAAAGTGATGGACTCAAAATTTTATATAATTTGCATGATCTGTATATAATATATGTATATTGTAAGAACTTTTCTATTCGTATTTCATCAGCTATATGTACGAAAATAGCGATGAGTATGTTAGCCGCATACCTCAGCCCAGAGGCTCAGACACTCACATGCACGTACACAAATACACACAGCCATATGCGCAATTCTCTGGCAATTTCTGTTGTATTGTTGTACAAATTGTAGCATGTTCCATAAATAGCCATAGACTGTCTTAGCGAGGCACAGCAAATAGTTGAACTGAATTTTAGCAGATTACAAAGACTTTGGATATTGTTGCCATCCATGGAAATCCTTTCACTTTCGCGTTCAAAAATTCCAGTTTTTGTTTTTTATGTGATTTATTATATATTTTAAATTTAAATATTTTTTTAATGTTTTTAAAATGTTTCATCAAATAATTTTGTCATTTGAGCACAGGTTGTCAGCACTTGATCAGGGTTTCTTTTTTGCTTTTATTTTTTTTTTTTTAATTTCTTTTCTTTTTTTTTTTTATTTTGTATATTATAAACAAAGCGGCGAGGCCTGGCCGGAGTCAGGCGATCTGCACAGCTCGAGAACAGAATCGGTAATGCACTAAAGGATGCAAAAAATATTCTCAAATTAATTCTTGGCGCTGACTGTGCGGCCCCCAACGCGCTGCCCGGCTATAACTGTACCGGCTGCCCGAACGGCCGACCGAACGCTACCCCAAAAAGATTCGAGAACAGAAGAATCAAAGAATCGAGAGTTGCCTCACCAACACCCACCGCCCCCCCGCTCACCTACTCCGCTTACCAGAGTGCCCGCAGCGATGAGAACTTTCATTCCGTTCATATGTATATATATAAATGTATATACATATGTGTATGTACATATACACATATGTATAGTTGTATATATTAATAGCTTTGTCTCGTCGTCTTGTCTTGCTGCAGGCTTGTATATAAGGCGTATATATCTATTGATATATGGCTGGCTATATAGCTAAGATCGTACGCCAAAAATATACCAAAAGATTTCGACGTTGTCGTCGTCGTCGATGTTCTTGTTGTAGTTGCTGTTATTGTTGGGCTTTTGCTTCCACATTCCGCCTCAAATGATCCACACCACTGATCCTCTTACGCAGGCGCATATCATCACACACACACGCACACACACACACTCATTCTCACATACACTTACTCACACAGGCACCGTCTATACTTAGCCGTCGCTTTGGTATATACGTAAGATCGGCCGATCGTCGAACTGCTGCCTCGTCGTGCCAATGCGAACAGCGCACAGCTATAAAAATAACATTCAAAAAACTAAACAACAACAATCGATAGAGCATTAATTTTAGTATATATACGTACACGTATATACATATATATAGATATGAGTGTGTCTAGCCGCCCGATCTAGCATTACGATCCGATTGTGTTTCGGCTTTTTGGCAATATATAGCAACAGCAATTCCCATAGCTCAACTGGGCCTTAGGCATCAGTTTGCCATTTCTTTGCCTTTCAATTTTTATGTGTCGGTTTTTTTTTTTTCAAGTCTTTTTTCGCACACTCTCGAGTCACTCGCCTTTCGGGTTGACATATTTTTGGAAATGTCAAAAAGCGCTCGAATCGCTTAATTACTTTTTTTGTACACACACTCACAGCTACACACAGACCACACTATAGGCTATACACACATTTGGCCAGAATCCAAACGTTGATCGGTTTAGCTCTATTATTGGTACAGCTCCTCGTTAAGCTATTCTACAAGTACATTATTAGTCTTACAAATTTTGGTAACATTTTCTTTTTCGTAAAG